ACTAGTTTCCAGAATAGACACTTCTGGACTCCTGCAAAAGCCATGTTTAGATTTTGTTGAATTTCAGTTATATGTTTCACAAAGACTAAATTAATTTCTGAATAACTTCTTTTAAATTGATGATGTGTGTCAGTTATTCAAGGCAAAACAAATGACTAAATATTCTGAATTGTACATTTTGTTGGATGTTTCATTTAAATTTGCTGAAGTATTTAAGATGAATGTTTTTAGATTGCATATATTTTTCTATGCGTGTTTTAAATCTGGATTGCAGTTTTTTGGGGAAAAAAAAGAGCAAGGATACACTGTGGCCTCCTTCATAAACCTTACAGAGTAATCTAACCCATCAGGAATCAAACGCACCATTTCCTGTCTAAGCTTTGATGCTCAATTTGGAAAGCTCTATAACTAGTTGCTATATGGAAATCAAAGCATTGTCTGGCATCATTATGAATTTCTAAATGGCAGTTAGCATGCAGCACTGTTCCAGTGCTGGCTTCTGATATTCACATGCTATCATACATCATTTACATCAGTGACCAAATTAGGCTTGCTTTGGGAAATTATGGATGTTGCACCTTTTTTCCAGGTATGTAGCACTGCTACACTGGTTGGAATTAACTGGTACGATAGCCAGCCAGTGTGTTTAGTCCCCTTAGACTTGGCCTACTATGTTACTCTATTGTGCAGTTTGCTCTGTGATACTTATTTGTGTAAGTATTGCAACAGATTTGTGTGCACTCATTTTTCCTCAGCAATTTGCTGCTGCTACAGTCCTCTGTACTATTAGCATGTCCTGGAAAAGGCTTTCTCCTCTGAGGAAGCTGCCAGCTGGCCAGTAGCTGATATATAGGCATTAGTTGCCACAGGGGAAAATCAGGGTGAGTTTAGTCATTTAGAATACTTTGGCACAGCAAAGTGCTGATCCCCTGGTGAATGGCAGCACGCTTAGTTACAGTAGTGTTATGCCACCAGTTAAGTACCAAAGAGCCAAGTATTCCAAGGTTGACTTAAAGGAAAGTCAAGCCTCTGGAAATAAATTTTACTGAGAAGAGCTGGTGAAACCGCGCTAATGGAATGGAAGATCTATAAAGGAAATAAGAATGCCAAATATTGTGTTAAATGTTGCAGCATTAGTATGACACAAGACTTTTTTTGCACATATTATTTTTGGATTCTTGAATTTAGTTAAAAATGACCCTGATGAACTAGAAAAAGAATGTTTCCCTTCCAGACCTTTGCTTCTGTGTGGACACTGTGAAGTATCATGTTTCCCAAATGAGTGTTAATGTAATGACATCCCAACACATTGTAGCAGAAATCTCATAATGTCATGAGAGTTAGTCATCTTATGCTGTGATTTACCTGAACCACTTGTTTTCTTGTTTTGAAGAATGTGTATAGTAGAGAATTAATGCCCTGCACCAGGCTTGTTGATAGTGATTTTATTGCTCGTGGTAATATTCAGGAAGATGCACTTTCTTCTTGGGGAAAATAAGAATGAAGGATGTAAAATAATTTATATTTTCAAAATGTAAGCTACTGACACACCTACAGGAAGGTTTTTTACAACTTTTCACAGTGCTTTCTGTTTTCAAATACAGTTGCTATAGTGTATGATCTTCATACTCTTTATGTGGCTAATGAGTCCTTCTGCTTAATTACAATAAAGAGTAGTCCATAGATGAATACAACCTCGATGCAAGAAAAGTTGTCTGCTGTAATACAGCATCTGTTTCAGACACGGGACTACATTAAATAAATTTTATTGATCACTAGAATAACAGGGAACCCATAAAAACTCAGCCAAAAGGAAAGGGTGTCACTAAGTTTTATCTCAAATAATCAAGCCAGCTAGTGAGCGAGACAACTGTGGAGTTGTAGGAAAGATCTGTGTCAACCTAGAGGCATTTTCTGCAGAGGTTTCCTTATTCTCTTTTGTCTGATGGTGACGTGTAAGTTATGATGTGATATAAATGATCTCATGGAACAAAACCCTAAATGTGTTAAAACCTTAGGAGATTTTTAAATCTTTTTTTCTCCTCCCATTTAGGCTATATAGAGATCATGTATACAAAAAATACTTCCTGATCTATTTTTATTAGGTGGGCAACAGTAAGATAAAACATGCATATAGTCAAGATTGCTGCTGGTTGCGTACCATCCATGTGCCTTCCATCCTGTGCTGCAGAGACTTACACATGGGTTGTAAGCAAGCGAAAGGCAACTGGTGCTGACAGCAGGTCTCCTGCGGCCCCTGGCCTGTAAGCCACTATTTAGGGAGTCCTGAATAAGGGCATGATGGAGATCAAGCTTCTCACAGGTTACGTTTAGAGAAGCTGGAGCTCCCTGCACATATTCCAAGGTTATCAGTTGCTTCTTAAGTATCTGATAACATGTATAGGAACAACAAAATTATGTGCCTATGATGGTGGCATTTAATTTTCTGTTGTACCAAAATATTGGTATGTCTTTTCACCTAGAAACCTCATTTAATGCTTGATGTTCCAGATGAAATCTGAAGGGGATTTTCTAATGGATGCATAAATACTTGAGGAAAAAGCCACACTGCAAAGAATATGGGAAGTCTGGGTTATTTATTGGAAGTAATATTTCTTGGCTAGTCAGATATCCTTAGTGTTATTACTCTGTGCTTTATGCACATAGATTCCTCTGCATGGAGAAAAACTAGAAAGCAGAATGGTCTGAAAGATCATCCTCGTCCGTCTTCGTCCCCTTTATGCTTGCACAACAAAAGCTTAAGAGTACATTAAGAATAAGTGGCAGTAATGTACTGATGGGAATACTTTCATTCAGAGTGGACAATACAGGCTGGATGAAGCCCAACACTTAAGGGTATGAACCCTGTTGATTAATCCTTAGGTTCTCTTTGTGATGTGTTGCGTTGAATGCACTTTAAAGTCCAGGAAAGTGGTTTGAAAATGACGGTGATCTTATGCAAAGAAAGATTTATCAGTAGGTCTGTATTTGCAGATAGGGAAGTGACAAGCACCAGGATGTACTGAGGCATGAAGTAACTCCCTGGCATTTGAGGACAGCTGCTAAGAAACTGCATGAGTGAGACAGGCTTTCTCTAAAGTTTTGGGAACATGAGACCAAAGCTGGGCCAAAAAATCATCTCTGTCTTTACTGCTTCATTGGGGAACTTATTCCAGAATCTCTGAAGATTCTGCTACTTTTTTTTTTTTCCTGCCTTTTTTTTTTTCTTCCCCTCCTCTGAGTACCATCTGGTTTTCAGTGTTTGTTTATTTTTCCAAGGAGACAATATTTTGGGACAGGGCCTGTCCTTTCACCTTTGATTTCTGTGTGATGTTAGTTTACCATTTTGACATACAATTTGTTTAAAACAAACAAACAAACAAACAAAAAAAAACCAACAAAACAACTTTCTAGCAACTTATGTTCATTTGTAGAAAGGCTGTTAGCTACCAGTATGCTTTGTCTTTTTTAATCATTGATCATTGTCAGTTCCAATGGTGGCAATTTGTTATCTTTCAAATAGAAAGGATTTTTTTATTTTTTATTTTTTTTAAGAAAATGAAGTAATCGAACCTAACATCTATTAATTGATTATTATATTTAATTATATTTAGCCTTATTATACATGGTTATTCCAATGCTTGCTACAGTATTTATTATCCTTTGGGATCTCAGACTACTTTTCCTGGCAAAGATAAGATTTCACACAAGAAAACAGGTGGGATTGATTAATATCCCTAATTACACTGCACTGAACCAAAGGGTAATATTTCTTACTGGCTCCTGTTAATAATCAATTACATCTCAAAGCAGTTGGATCAATAACCTATATATTTTTTTTCTTGAGCACTGTAGTTATTGTATTAGTGTGGAAGTATTAGGATGAAGAAGGCTGCAAATGTTAGCTAAAAATCCTTCAGATATTTGCCATTGGTTCACTGAAAGTTTGTCATACTGGAGGGGTTCAAACAGCTCAGCAGTTGGCATGCCTTCACAGAATATTTGTTGGAGGATTTCAGCCAGCTCTGCTGAGCTCAGGGGACATTAAGCAGGGAAATGTTTTATATGGGCTTGTCTTGAGCTCTTCTGCCTGCTTGGTTGGTGAGGCCCAAGGTTATTCCCATGCTGTGCTAGAGCAGCTCTTTGCTTGAGCAACCATGGCCTCTCAGAGCACCTTTATATATTACTGTGGGTGTGGAATGGTGTCAACAGCACCCTGGGCCGGGGCAGTGACATTGGAGTCTGCGTGTTGTATCCACAGGCAGACATGATTTAAACTGGCTGTCCTTTGGCTTTGGCTGTAAATTCCAGGTTACACGTGTGGCAGACTGTTGCCTTGTCTGTAAGCCTTATGATGGCTTGTGGTGGCTCGCACTGCTGCTGGCTCACTTCAGAGGGACTCCCGCTGCTGCTGCTCATCCTCTGAATTTTGCCACAGAGCCTTTACAGCCACCACAAAATGAAGCATCAGTATGATGTCTCCTCTATTTTTTGGTGGTCTGATGCAGCCAAGGAAATAGTAATAGAGGGCCAGGCTACTAAATATTGCCATTTGTTGGCATAACTTTTGAGTACCGTTCTGTGTACCTGCATATGTGCAAGTCTGAAACTGCCCTAGTGTAGAATTATTTCACTTCATCCTCAGCCCATACCTGCAACTGCATCCTATCTGCAGCCCTAATACTGACAACTGATGGGCTGCTTTATGCTCCCTGCAATGTTAAATCATAAAGGCAATAACTCGTACTGTTGTTAGTTTTGCAGAGTGGGGAGAAAAGAAATCCCTGAAGTGAAAGTGATAGGACGCAGATAACAGATTTTAATTGCTTCTTTCTCAGACTGTCTGTAGTCTGGTTAAAACAGATTTTCCTGCTGATTTGCACAAAAGAAGAAAAGGCTTTAAATATTGATGTGTATGTGAAGACTTTCTAAAGTGCCCAGATGGACATCTCCAACTGTGTTTCCCTGCTAATGTTTGCTTTCTTTGTTCTGATTGGCAGCTGCTGGGCTCCAGTCAAGTACATTGTCCCTCCTGATCATGACTGCTCTGAAGGCAGGGTAGCTGTCTGATGTGTCCTGCTGGCACCTGAGTACTTCAGGTATGTTACTCACATAAAAACAGAATATATAACATTGGTTTTTATTTGGTAATTTATTGGTCGATGGAGTATTTAATTTGAGCCACAACAAAACCATTTTATTTTTTAAACCACAAAGATATGCAGCAACTGTGTTTTTTGAAGGTAAGTGAAACAGAAAAAGGCATTAAAATGCTTGTAGTCTATTATTACATTAAAAAAAACCCACGTTTTTCAGTGGAAAATCTAGAACGATTTTTTTCACTTGGATTCACAATTATGTTTGTCACCTGCAACTTTGTTTTGTGTGAGCACACAATTCATCCTTGCTCCTGTCAAATGGCCCAGCTCTCTACCAAGTGATTTCAGCAAGACAACCATCTTAAGGCTTCTTGATGTAAAGATATTTTAAATAAGTTCAAAGGGTTAACACAGAGGACAAGAGGAAGGGCTATTTCTGTATCTGAGACTTCAGTGGGAATGATTTACCATGAATAGGAGAGCACATCTCTAAAGTAATCTGTCTCTGCTTGCAGAAAAATTTATGGTGACCTAAGAATATCTATAATGGCACAGTTTACATGGCACCTTTGGCTGATGAGAAATAGCAGTCTTGAAATGACTAAAGGGATTAGCAGCTTTAGCTTTGTTTTCCAAAATAATGTACTTATAGAACCACTGACAATTTTTTCTGGTTTAATCATTTCACGAAGACATTTATTACATGTATGTCATAACCCAAAATAACAATGCTAGTGAAAGCCTTATCAATCACCTGGTTAAATTTCAATGCTCTCTTGGTTTAGCCTTTTGTGGTCTCTGGAATAATTTTGATAATTTTATGTGCTCGTTGTTCAACACAGCTTGAAGGTGAATGTTTGCTCTATGAATCATGTCGACCTAGTCTAAGTGGCAAAACGAAGCGCAAAGAAGATGGAAGTGAAATTTCAATAGTACCGGTGGCACATTCAGATCTAAATCCTGTTGACATTTTTCACAAATTATTTCAGTTTCTATATTTTTTTTTTTTAATATGTGTGTAAGTGGCACTTGAACACCTAGGACAATTAAATACTAGGTATTTTTTGCTCTGAGTTCAGCTCATTATGTATTTAAGATGTGAAAACCTAAAACTTTATCCCACGTAGAGTTAGGTTGCAGTTGCTTGAAACGCACATTTTTGGGAAAAACTGTCATGTTTCTTTAGATATTCTTGGGAAGGCTTCTGAGGTGTTGGCAGAAACTATTTTGATGAATGTAAGGGAGGGCAATTTGGAGTTACCTGGTGGCCTGCTATTAGGACGTTCATTTGACAAAGGGAGCTCTCTGTTCTGTCGCTTGCTCTTCCTCAAGTCCAGCAGCACAGCTTTCCTACCATTGTGGGGGAATACTTTCATCACAAGTCTCTTGATTTGGGGACTATGACTCTTTTGTTCATTTGTATGGGGATAGAAGGAGAGGAAAAATGTGATTGATAAGAAGACTATGCTTTTATGGTAGTGTTTTTTTAAAACAACATAAATACTGGATTTTTGTCTCCTATTTTTCTCTTAGTAAAATAGGATGTAGTGGGGTTGCCAGTGAAATGCCTCTTGTACTTAAAAGTTGTACTTAGAAGGTAAGAAGAGAAAATGTTAACTTGTGTCTATCTACATGCTACACTTCAAAGCCATACTCTATTTTGTTTCCAAGGCTTTATATAAAAAAGAAAACCATAACCTCTTTATACTGTGCTCCAGCATAACTTGCTCTCATCGAGTTTTCATTGCTGTGACTTCACTACTGCAGTTCAACAATTGTGTATGTGTCCTCAGGTTATACATCTTTCAGAAAGACAATTGTAAAGATCAGTTATTATATCCTATATGACCTTTTGGTTTATCATTTCAAATGACCTGCAGGAGACTCTGCCTAAGGCGTGCAGTTGCATTGTGGCAGAGCAGTTTCAAATGTCAGTATCTGTTTTCATTCTATGCATTTTTTGCATGTATTTGTTCGTTAGCTTAGAATAAAGCATAATGTTGACATTTCTTTTGATAGACAAAGATGGCAACAATCTTGTCGGCTGGCTCTAGATTAAAAAAATCTGTTACTTCCAATGGAGTTTTTTCCCCATTTCCCTTATTTTCCCCTAACTAGCTCCTCAGATTATTATTTTTGTTCATCTTCTTTCTTGTCAGAGGATACTGTGATTCTGTAAATATTTTTCCACAGATTGCTGTATTTTACTGCCATGAAATTTTGTCCATTTGAACTCATCCTTCTCATTAAAGGGTTTAAACATACAGGTAGAAAGTGTAGGTCTGTGGTACTCTTTTCCCTTCAGTCTTCACTATATGCTCCTCAGATTAAATCACATTTTTACTGTATGAATATATTGATCTTGTTCATACTTGAGATTTTTTTTTTCAACCTGAATTACTTAACCTATCATTGATTCATTCTTTTTCATATAGAGATTTTAAAATCTAGTGCAAGAACATCTTTTTGTGTACACTTGACACCTGATCCTGTTTAGTGAATCAAAACAACCTCAAATGGTTATTTTTTTCCTTATTGGTTTGTTTAGTGACTGGCCTTGAGTTTTATTTTATTTTATTTTATTTTTTTAAATCAAGCAAAGAAAACCCCACAAAACCTCAAGTCACCAGTTGGCAGTAATTCTGCTCTGTACCTCCGTGTACCTGCTCTTTAGAATCTTATAGTCCCAAGGAAGAATTTTATTTCTGACGTTATGCTTTTAGAAACTTTTGCTCTTGATTTCTAAAATCTCTTTTCACTGTTTTTTTTTTTCATTAAATTCTTATTTTAAAAGACAGACATGAGAATAATAATTTTAATGCAAATGAAACATTTTTATAAATTAAAGTGTAGAAATGTTTACACAAAGTATCTTGAATCTTAGCTAAAACCCTTTAATCACACGAGATTAAAGATATGATGCTATGCTTTTTTTTTTGCTTTTTTTTTTTTTTTTTTTTTTTTTTTTTTTTTAGGAAAAAATGCTGCAAACTCTAAAAGGTTTTGGGGTTTTAATTTCCTTGCAGAAAATCCCTTCCAGAGCAGGTGAAAGGCGACTGTAACATGCAGAGAAGGTCATTAAAGTTTCCAATTTAAATTGATTACAAGGAAATGATATGCCAGAGGAAAAAAAAACAATAGATGAAAAGAAGTGTCCTAGATAGCAAGAGAAGATGAATGCTGTGTGTTTTCCCCAGCTCGGATTGTCTGTGACACAGTATGATTGTCTAATATCTCACGATGAGGAGACTAATACAAGGCCATAAATCACAGTGAGCAGCTTTTCAAATAATAAAACACTCTGTCTTCTCACTAATAGGCCCCAAGTTAGGACCCTGAAATATTGAAAACAAGGCTAGCATTCACCTCTGTGTTGGTGACAATGACTTTTGCATATTTTGCATCCACAGATTGTCTGGGGAGACAGCCAAAAGCTCAGCATATTGCAAACAGAGCAGATTTGTAGCGTGTTTTTTAGTTACTAATACATGAAGATTAATAAGAAGACTAGGATGGTGTTTGTGCATAATGTAGCGAACAACCATTATTTAAACTCACAAGACCCATATGAGTCTAGAACACAGTTTCTGGGAATGTTGTATGTTGTACCGTTAGATTTCTGCTTTTCCACAGTTGCAATCTTGGAGTTTGTGCTCATGCATGAGCACAGTTATTTTGGTTATTGGATCTTTCTCATCCTCTTCTACCTCCTGCTTTGCCCAACCATATTGACTGTCTGGCTCTGACACAGAAAACCTGCTTTTCATGTAAGAGAAGGCTCTTGTAATGTATAAGAGCACATATAAGTATTAACAAGGTATTCTCTTAAGACTTCTGTTCCCACAGTTAAATTTTGACAGAATCCAGATTGGGGACAGCGGAATGAAAAGGTGTGAGAGAAATAAGTTCATAATATTTGAGAAAATGCTACATTTTGAGCAAAATCATATGGCTTGTATGGTGACAATGTGCATGGGTTTAAATGCAGCCAACACATGAATAGTTTCCTTGATGGAAAGAAGGAAAAGAGGTCCAAATATCAGATCTGTATTTTGTAACTTTTAACTAGTGGAATAAAGTCATCTAGGCAGGCCATGGAAGTAAAATCACAGAAAAATGCTAGTTGCTAGAAGAAGCTGTGATTCTAGTAACCATACCTCCATTATATATATATATATATATATATAAATATGCATGTATATATACATATATATATATGTGAATGTGTGGGTATATACACACACATACATATGTATATATATATGTTTCAGTGATAGAATACAGGACAGAACACAGGAGTAAGCATATTCAGTTGGAAAAGGAAAATAAATCCCTTTGTTAATATACATATAAACAGTTAAATGGATGTATCTTTGTTTTCTTTCAATTAAAAATGAAATATGAGAAACAAAAAACTTCATTTATATAGTTTTATTTGTATGCTACTTTGGATTGGAACTCAGGAGTTTGTGACAATGATTCATTTTTCATTCAAACACATTAAAAAATACTGAAATGTAGCAAATTTGCTCTATTTTTTTATGTATCTGAAGTTGAGAGTTTGAGCCTGAGTTCAATGAAGAACATTATAATTATCCTTAAATCAGTTTAAAAGAAAACAACAGACCACAAAAGAAGTACCAGATGCTTTCAGCTAAATAATAGCTGCAAAGTACAATAAAAGATTTACGTAAGTCTAAAGTATCATCACTGCACAATTGGAAATATCAATGCAAACAATCAAAACCTGAAACCTGAATTGAAGTAAATTAAATAAATTATCTTAGTGACTGCTGAACTTTACAACAGTGCTGTTAATGAAGGTACAAAACCTCTGAATATATTATGTGATCAGCTGACCAATGGTTGACTTTTCTTATACTGATTCTGATCTTAGCCGCTGACCATATGTGTTTAATATAAACTTAAATTGTTTGATAGTTATTCAGTGGGAGAGGGGAAAATGTTAATTCTTTTCTGAGATATGCCACTTTTCTACA